GTGTACGTGTTTGTCCACAGCACTGAGGTTTCTGCGTGTGATTTCTCGGGAGGACGCGTTTCTCGTCGGAGCTCAGCTGGCCTGATGCTCAGGTTTTCTCAGTTCAGATGGCACAGTCTCCGTCCCGCGATCGCCGCAGGTCTCTTCGCACCTTTCGCTGCTGGAGAAAGGAGGTAGTGCCACGTGTTCTGGGTGGACTGGGTCACTAGGTATGTGCTGCTGTGTTATCTCGAGGGACAGGGTGGGACAGGCCTGAGCAGGTGCCCCTGCAGCTGCAGACGCCCTCTGTCCTTGGGACTCGAGTTCCATCTTAAATCAGCCGATGCCCACTTCAAGAGGAATGAGCCAGGAGTTAACACATTTTCACATTTCCAGCCCTAGGAGTTAAAATTAAACACAAGCCAGGCTTTCGTTTCTAGGCCTGAGCACATGTGTCTTCACCTTGTCTGGTTCTGTCTACAACTACTGCTAGCAATGCAATCAGCCTGAGTTAAAATTTAGCCCTAACACCCTTCAACCCTCGCGAAACCCACTTCTCCATGGCCAGGAAGGTGCTCAACAGGAACGCCGTGTGCGAGCAACTGCACCGGCTCCCAGAAGATTCTGCGCATCTTCATGAAGCACCTGGAAATTGGTGGAAAATTATAAAATCAGTGACGCGTGAGTGGGATCATTCACGTATGAGCAGAAGCCTCCTGAGAAACCAACGGGCTCCCCTGGGTCCAAATAAATAAAACAAAGAAAGGAAGAGCCTGGGGTGACCTGATGTCCCAATGCTGGAGTGTCCTCAGGAGACATCCCAGGACGGGGAGTTACCTCCATGAGTGTGATTCGGGCCGCAGGGAAATGGAAAAAGAGTGAAAGCACACGAGGCCACGGCCCCTCCATGTCGGCGAGGAAGAGACGGCCTTCCTGGAGCCTGGACACCTGCTGCGGGAGGGCTGGCCCCGGCGTGGGAAGAGGGCCTGGCTGCTGGCCGCACTGGAGAAGGAAACTCCGGGCTCCTCAGAGCAAGCAGGCCGCTCCTGACTGCACTTCCCCTCACCATGAGGGATCTGTCCCACGGAGAGAGTCATTAACGGCAAAACCTAATGGTGAGACTGACATGAGCATCCGTGTCTCTTTGTACATGAGACTCAGGGATCTGGGCCATGGTTCCCGCTCCGTGGGCGTGATCAGCTGCAGATGTTAGTTACAGCGAAGTCAGAAATGACTGTCGGTGTGAATATTCAGGAAAACATCCCAACACTATCTCCCCATGGAACGTTTATTTAAAAAAAAAAAAAAAGACAAGAAGGTAGAAGAAAAAAGGACTGCTATTCTTCTAGGCTGCCTTGGGAAGTTTTTCTCTTGCTGGCAGAACACAGAGGGGAGCAGACCCTTCCCTAGAAGCTCAAAGCGTAAGCACGCTGCCCTGTCCCCCACAGAGGACAAATAAAGGGAACAGAACGTGTTTGCCGGTGAAACCCCGTCTCTACTAAAAAAAATATAAAAAAATTAGCCGGGCGCAGTGGCGGGCGCCTGTAGTCCCAGCTACTGGGGAGGCTGAGGTAGGAGAATGGCGTGAACCCGGGAGGCGGAGCTTGCAGTGAGCCGAGATTGCGCCACTGCACTCCAGCCTGGGCGACAGAGCGAGACTCCATCTCAAAAAAGAAAGGAACTCTGACCTTCGCTTGTCGGTGGGTTCCTCCACTCCCTGGACACAATTAGGTGATTGTAACTAAGTTGGAAACGTTCCCTGTGATCTAACTAGAAACATTGTTGCTCTGTGTGACTTGGAGAGCAGGAAACAAACTGCAGTTGGCCTTCAAATCCTCCTTCCAATGAAGACAACAGCATTCCTAGCCTGGGTGCTCCAAACGGGCTCCTGTTTGCTTGATTTGAACTTCACATCACCTCGTGAAGCAGAGAAGTCACCTGTCACAGAGCGGTAAGTGGAGGATGACCTGGGTCACAGGACTCAAACTGCCTGGAACTCCAGCCACCTGGTTCCTGGCCAGTGGGAGAGGCCCCTGGGGTGCATTTTCCACCTCTGGGGTCAGGGACAGGCTCGGATATTGAAGATTGCTCCTGGGTTTACAACACTTTCTATGTTAAATAGTAGTCTGTGGGGCTGTTGTAGTTAGAACTGGATGATTTGCAGTGTGATTTTCGTCGTCACAGGTGAGCTGTTATTTACAGCAGGTGCCGTCCTCCCTGTGCGCACTTGGACACATGGGACCATACCCTGGCAAGGAGAAGCCCCCGTGCAAGGTTGGACCCCGTGGCCCACCTGCCAGCTCCTTCCTTCCACCCACCGCATGTGGAGCAGTGCACATGCTGGGTTCACACCCACGTCCTCACAGTTGCCTTCCCGGAAGTGTTCGGACCTCATCATGGCTGGCAGACGGGAGTGTTGGGAGGAAGCCCCGTCAGACGGCAGCCAGCCAAGGGCCAGCAACAATTTGCCCCCGCTGTCCTCCACAAAGAGAAGGGAGATGGGCCCAGACCAGAGCCAGGGTGTCCTGACAAGGAACCAGGAGGTCCTGTGTAGACCTCAGGCTCCCAAGGCTTTCCTCTGAGTTCAGACTGCAGCTCAGCGCCTCAGTGGTTGATCCTGACAGTCATGGAGACCAGAGGATGGGAGCAGGAGAAGGCGGGGAGGCCACCTGGTGATGCGAGTGGGAGGGGGAAGGGAGGCCGCCTGGTGATGGGAGCAGGAGGGGGAGGGGAGGCCACCCAGCGCACGCAGATCAGGGCAGTGACTGCCTCTCCCAGTTCCTGGTCATCCCTGACCTTGGCGGCTGGCTCCTCCTGCCCAGGCGGCCCCTGCCCAGTAGGACGGCCACAGCGGCCAACAGGCCAGATTGTCCCTCCTGGCTCTCGGTGGCAGCTGCCACCATGGATCACTTGAAGGAAAAAGGAAGAGCTGACATGAACGGGATTCACTTGGTGTCCCACACTGCCCATCCGAGGCCGGCAGGCTCACCAGGTCACTTTTGAGGTGGGTGGGGTGGGACATCTGCTCGGTCTGTCCACAGAGCTCAGGTTTGTGGATGAAGCTGAGAGCAGCAGAGGATCTGGGGTCTGTGGCTGTGCAGCTCCGTAGTGAATGGGTCTTCCCCTGAATTTAAATGAAGCCAGGTTCCAGGAAGGTGTTGTGAGCTGTGCTGCCACATGACATGGGGACAGCTTCCTCCCGGGAGTCTGCTACGGCCGGAACCCACTCGCACCATGCTCAGCCCACCAGGTCTTTGCTCTCAGACCAATCCTGACACCTGGGCCTCTCTACCAATAGCTTTCCGGGGACCTGAGCAGGCACTTGGGTGGCCTGGATGCAATACCCTGGCCAAGATGCCAAGTTCTTCTCTGTAGGCACTGCTGTCTTTCGTGATGCATGATGGGCCCCCGAGAGCTCAGGGGCCCCGCTCCCCTCCGAGCACCGCAGGACAGCAGGCCAGGAAGGCAGGCAGGGCTGGAGAGGCAGAGCTGACCTGCGAGGAAACATGAATGAGAAGGAGATGCCCGGCCAGCTGGGCTTGGGGAACGCATCGGGTAGGAGGTCCTGCAGGTGCCACGGGAGGTGGGAGATTCAAGAGGAATGAATGGAGCAAGGGATCCTGGGTTATAAACCAAGACTCTCAACGCCACTGCTGTGAGCGGGAGCCTGGACTCCCTGCCGACTCACTTTTGTGTGGACCACACGTCTTCCTATGAGACTCCGAGCAGAGACAGGGCCAAACAGCATGTGCCTCCCCGCACTGCCCATGGATGTCTGAGGGCCACGTCTACCATGCTGGGGCCATGAGGAAGCCCTGGGCATGGGAAGCATCGGACTATGACTCTGGGGCGCTGCCTCTGGCCTCCCGCAGCCTGTATTCCTCTGATGCCTTCCCCACCCCGAGGGTCACATTGCCAAATGCAGCCTTCAGAAGGGACTGAAAGAGACAATGAACTGGGGAGGTGGGGGCTCAGCTGCACCTGAATCTCATGTGTTGGAATCCTCAGGCCGTCACAGGGCAGGGTCTCGGTAGGTGCCCCCTGGGGTTTCCAGACATCTCATGGCAGCATCTCCAGAAGCCCTAATCAGCACAGGAGCACCTCAAGGAGTTAGGGCTGGGGCCACAGTTGGAAGCCAGAAAGTGCCCCACCCCCAGCTGCAAAGCAGCTGCCACCCCAGAGTGGAGACCTCCTCAACACCCCTCTGCAGGGTGAGCCGGGCTGCAAGGACTGTGTGGTCCAGGTTAAAAGTCCAAGCACACAGGGGGCAACACATTTGAAACCAGGACTTCCCTGAAGACGCCGGCTCTCTCTGGACAGGACCAGCATTGTAGGCGTGCAGCCCTGCAGCTCACACAGGCACCTGAGCTCAGACAAACCCGCGCATGGTTTAATGCTCCACTGTCCTCTCGAAATTCTTCCTAACCTTCGAACAAAAGGCCCCATATTTCCACTTTGCACTGAGTCTCAAACACTCTATCACATTGCAGATCAACTGATCCTACACTCGTTTCTGTCTTGTGTTTATTGTTGTTTGTTTTGTTTTTCTCATCAGCTAAACTGTAAGCCCGAGGGTGCCAGGGAGCTGCCTGCTCCTTAGGAACCCCAGTGTTTAGCCTCCAGCAGAGCTGGGCCTACAGAGGTGCCCGATAAACACAATCTCAGATCACTTCCACGTGGCTCTGCTCATTCATTCACTCCACGAATATTTATAGAAAGGGAGGGAGTCTGGACGAGCTTTATTATCGCCAGACTATTAAAATCTTTTCGATTAGAAGGTTGACGCAGGCGCAGCAACGCCGTGGACCTGAGGCGGCCACCACGGTCCTGCCCGATTTGCAGCCTCCACCCTGCGGGTGACACGTGAACTGGCCGGTCCTGAGGATGAAAAGGGAGGACCGTGTGCGTGGGAATATCTCCTCCCCCTCACACACAGGCTCCGTTTCCCGGGAGCTGCCCTCGGGGGAGCCCCGTGTGGGGCCAGGAATATTAACGCCGCCTTTCCCCATCTCCCCTGACAGGCGTGAGTGACGCCGAGGCGCGCCAGCCGGGGAAGTCGCCCCCCTTCAGCGTGAACTGGGTCGTGGGCAGCGCGGACCTGGAGATTATCAACACCACCACCGGGCGGAGGAGCTGCGGGGGCCCCTCCCGGCTCTGCAAGCACGTGCTGTCTGCACGGTGGGCGCGGCTGTATGGCAGGGTAGGTCACACCCATCCTTGGAGGGAAACGGGCCCAGCCAGACCCTGGCTCCAGCCCTGAGCGAGCCCCCGGGAGAGGCCACCACTTGGTCTGCAGGGAGGGAGAGGCAGGACACAAAACCCAGCGCCCCTCACATGTCCTTTTCCCAGCTGTCCAGGCCAGCAGCGTTTCCCCGTAGGCTAGAGACCCCGCTGCCCCAGGCACCGCCCCCGGACGGCCCCAGGCACCGCCCCCGGACGGCCCCAGGCACCGCCCCCGGACGGCCCCAGGCACCGCCCCCGAACTGCCCCAGGCACCGCCCCCGGACGGCCCCAGGCACCGCCCCCAGACCAGCCTGGAGCTGCGGAAGCAGGAAACGAGCTCATTGCTGAACCCGTGACGTCACCGGGCACGCCCCGCCTGCTTCACTCCGGGTGTCACAGGAGCTGCTCCTGGGGACTTTTGAAGTCGACACTATTCCCGGTTTAGATATCAGGAAACCGACACTCAGAAAAATTGTATAATTTCCCCAAAATTTCACAGGAAATGAATCTCAGGGTTAGAATTTCTCCCCAACCCCAAAGCCCAAGCATTTCCACGACATCAGCGATTAGGAGCAAGCTTTCTCCTTCACAGGCAGGGATAACGGCAACAGTTCTGGATTTTAAATCAAAATCCACATTCGTATGCGTTTCCAGCATAGACTGTGACCAAAAACAACAAATAACAGAAAAACCAGCCAACACATAAAAAATGCCTCGCTCATTTTTCCGTACTTTTTAATCCAAGCAATGACTCCAAGCCGGAATAATAGTGTTGTTGATTTGTCAACTGGTAGAGCAGGGTAGGCATACTGACGCCTAAAACAAACGTTTTCGCCAGCTTAGAGGACACTCAGAATTGCACATATTAGTTCTGAGCTTGGCCAAGACACCCAGCATCCTGCAGCTCTCAGTCTCTGTCCTGTCCGCTCAGTGGCACTGCCCGGGTCTCCCTTCTCCTGGAGACTGGGAAGGTCAGGGAAGCATCCATGCCGTCCTGCTGAACAAAAGGGCCCTCTCCCCTTGCACGTGCTCGAGGTGACCCCCCCATAAGTGCCTCCCTGGAAGACCCGCTGTGGGATTCGGAGATCCCCACAGCCCCGTCCTCCCTCCTGGCCTCCCTGCCCTGTGGTGGGGGGATCAGAGCTGCATTTGATCCCTGTCTTGTGTTGCTGCTAAGCTTTGCCTGGCACACCTCAGAAAGCTAACAGAGGAATCGCCCCAGCTCCATCATCCTCCTGCTCGGCCAACAGAGTGACTCTCACCAGCCTGCTCCCTGCCCACTGTGACGCGGTTTTAGCTCCCACCGTCCCCCTCCGTCCCCCACCCCGCCTGGAGCCCCTGCACAGTGTTCATACTTTTAATCGCAGTCAAGTTTACCCGCTCACTGATCGTTCAGACCTCGGATGAAGCGGGTTTCCTCGATGACTGGGTTTCCTGTGGAATAGCGGGAGGACCTGGTCACGGTTGCTCTCTGTAATGGTGGGAGAAAGAAAGGCAAAAGGCCAAGGCCGAGAGCTGATGCCTGGTGTGTAAAACTCACCTGGCAGAAGCTCCTTTTCTGCTGGTGTCTGATTGGCTCTTTCTCCTTCTTGTCCACAGCTGAGCACACGGACACCCAGCCCCGGAGACACGCCCTCCATGTACTGTGAGGCCAAGCTGGGGGCGCACACCTACCAGTCTGTGAAACAGCAGCTGTTCAAGGCCTTTCAGAAGGCTGGCCTGGGCACCTGGGTGAGGAAACCGCCAGAGCAGCAGCAGTTTCTACTGACTCTCTAGGCTGCGGGCTCCTGGCTGCTGGAGCTGAGCGGGACGTTGGAGGGACTGGGCCGTGTCTGGGGGGCGACGCAGCGGGTTGGCCGGTTCCCTGCATTCGTTTTCCTTTGGTGTTCCAGAAACACGCGAGTGTGCAATGTTTGGACAAGCAACCAGACTGGAATTCAGAACATGCCTCTTCCCAGATCGCTGGCCCCAGAACCATGTTCCCACACCCAGGGGCACACGTGCTGTTGAGTCAGCCCAACGCTTCCTGTGGCGTCCGAGGGAGGGGCTCCATCCAGGCAAGGGGGCTTAGCTGCGGCCTTGGAAGGAGGTACCGACGCATCGCCAGGCAGGAGTGAGCCTCAGGCCCTGTCCCTGCACCCCACCCCTGCGTGCGCCTCTGGGCGATGTTGGGGTCTAACAAGCACAGCTTTAGGGGGCACATGAAGATAAGCCACAAGCCAAGAGAAAAGCCATGCCCACCCCAGCCCCAGAGAAACCAATAAGAATCCTCTATTATTTTCATTATTCATTTCGGTTTTTATACTTCACCTCCTTTCAAAAAATATTTAAGATGCACGACATTACCAAACACCTAAAACAGAACCAGAGAAACAAAAGCCATTCCCGCAAAGTGAAGGAAGAGGTCCCAAAGCCCGGGTGAGGCAGAGTTAAGACCTGCGATGTGGGGAGCCTGGAAACACCTGTCCCACTTGCGCTGTAGAGGTGGGGAGCCTGGAAACACCCGGCCCAGGCGCGCTGCAGAGGTGGGGAGCCTAGAAACACCCGGCCCACGCCTGCTGCAGAGGTGGGGAGCCTGGAAACACCCAGCCCACGCACGCTGCAAAGCCACCCACGCCTGTTCAGTCCATCACCATGTTTGGTTTATTGTGGCCGATACTGAGAGCCACTGAGGTCTGTAAGGTTGTGTAAGGGTTAGCTACCACCCTATAACCTCCCTACTAGGTAATAAGGAGATGAAGTCTTTGATCAAAGTCTGACTTTTTAACTAAATTTTCATTAGAAAGCAAGCATAAAATAAAATTCAAAACAACCTTTACTTTCAGCTTGAGAGGCTACCAGCTCTCTGCTCTTTCAGATTCTCCAATCAACAGCTTGCAGGACAAGACCCCAAAAAAGTTCAGCTGTCAAACAATGTAAGAGGCAGGATTCTGTGACCCTCAGAGCAGGCTTCCAACACCAGAGACCTTCAGCTCACAGTGGAGATGGGACACAGGGGCTTTAGCCCACGGCGTCATCCCTGAGAACCGAGGCGCTGTATTCATACAGGGGTCAGGCTCTTTTCCAAGTATCTTTACGTAATCCATGTGCCTCGAGTTGCTGTCCATCTCACCACCGATAACTCATTTCTAACATTCATCATGCTAGGTAGCCAGTCTCTCATTTCTCCAATTTAAAAAATCCATCTCTGAAATTGATGGCAGACGGCAAAGCACGGTCGTGTCCACCTCTGAATGGTGGCGTCCACCTCCGGATGCTGGCGTCCACCTCCGGATGCTGGTGTCCATCTCCGGATGGTGGCGTCCACCTCCAAATGGTGGCGTCCACCTCCGGATGCTGGCGTCCACCTCCGGATGCTGGCGTCCACCTCTGGATGCTGGTGTCCACCTCTGGAGTGTGGGCTTCCTGGAAATAATCCCAGCTGACCACCCCAGAAAGTGCAAGAATAACATCGTGCTGTACATAGTCGAGTGCTATAAATTACAGTTATCATAATGAGAAGGCAGAAATGAAACTGAGTTGTAGCTATTTGTTACAAGATAATAAGAAGTAGGGATATTAGTATGGAAATAGAAACTTTTCCTGGGATTTAAAATAAGGCCAAATTTATCAGTCGAGTTTTTTAGAAAAGAAAACAGGCACTGGAGTAGGCAACTTCAAGATAAAGTTTCAAAAGATATGAGAACATTTTTTCAAATAAAGGACTCATATTTATCTTTCATAAAAATCGCAAAAATAAATGAAATCTTAATTCAGTGCAAAAGCTAAGCTCAAACGACCAGTTTCTATTAAGTTCTGGTAACCTGATGTCCCTAAGATGAAGCTTAGAGAACTGAGAGAGTCAAGAGGCGATGGGAGACTCAGACGTTCGCAGCCATCAGAAGCGAGCACTCCCCTGAACGTGTGGGAGCATGGCCAGCTCCTGGCTAAAGTCTCCGACCCAGGCCTCAAATCACCTTCATCTGAGATGTTGGCTAGAGAAGCGTATGATGCTTTCCCCCAGTGGGCTCCAAATCACACTGTTTCTGCAGCGAGGGGGCCTGCATTGTAAGCAGACTTCACCATTAGAGGGAAGACGCAGGGTCTAATTCACGGGACTCGGAAAGTGCTCGGCCACCCAGTGACCAGCACCATGAAGCCGCACCTGTGGGGTTGGGATTCGTGTTGTCTCAGGCACTGAGCTTCCAGAAACAACTCAGACTGTACTGAAATATCGACATCTACATCGGAGAAAGCCACACATTAATTCCACGCTACCCACTAGTACAAGTGTGTGGATTCGTTTATTAAGTCCACAGGAGACTCCATGGAAGGAGAGACTAAAGCTCTTCAGAGAAGGTTGAGAGCGAGAGAAGAGTTTCCAAAGCAGCCAGAAGTGAGTTTGAGGTGCTGGAGCTTTTCCATGGAGGGATCTGTCAGAGGCGATGTGGGCTGCAGTGGGGACCCCTTGTAAGGAGAGGAGGGTCCCAGGCCCTGGGTAGTGAAAGGAGAAGGAAGTCGAGGCAGTCAGGGGTGACCCCACATGCGGGAGGCATGCCACACCAGATCACGCCACACACAGGTTGCTCCCAACTGGCAGGGCCTGACCCAGCCAGGAGGGGCCAGGTCCTAGGATTCCACAGCCCCAGGAGAGCCTGGAAGACCCCGGTCCCAGGATCCCCACAGCCGCAGCTATGCTTGGAGGGGCCAGGTCCCAGGATTCCCATAGCCCCGAGAGTTTCTGGAAAAGATGGGTCCCAGGATTCCTACAGCCCCAGGTGTGCCTGGAAGACCCAGGTCCCAGGAATCCCACAGCCACAGGTGTGCCTGGAGGGGCCAGGTCCCAGGATTCCCACAGCCCCAGATGGGCCTGGAGGGGCTGTGCCACCTCTGCAGAGATAGAAGGGCTGGTGTTGACGCCTGAGGATTTTGCTCTTGGGTCCAGGTCAGAACATCCCAGCACCACTCTTAGGCCAGGTCTGCCCTGCCCTGCAATTTTGACCGCTGAATTGGTCTTAGGAGTGGCCACGCACCCCCCTCCAAGTGAGGGTGCAAGACACAAGTAGGGGACGGGTCAATTTCTGTCACCCTGAAAATACGCTGGGCACAACACAATGGGGGCTGATGAAGTCAGGCCGGCCCCTCCGAGTCCACTTCAAAATCACAGCCTGGCTCCCCCACACTTCCCGCCACCTGACACCACCAAGCCCCTTGCTTCAGATTTTCTGTGGTCTATACTCATGCCTGCTTAGGCCCCCTACAAAAGTCCTCATAAAACCAACGCCACCTTTATCTGCCTCCAAAACACACACTGCTTTCCCATCGGGAAGATCAGCAATGTGGTTTCCTGCCTGGTTCTTAGTCAAAAAGTCAGTGTCTGGTTGTTTCCGGAATTTTGCAGGACTGAGCGGCAGGGAACAGCTGAGCAGCCAGGCATGCTCTGCCGTCCACCTCCAGCCCCGGTTTCGCAGCCGTGTGTGATGTCAAGGGATGGATGGAGTTAAGGTTTCCGTTGGTTTTGTTTTTGCCGAGGAAAGGATGTGCGGGTCGATAGCTATTGTTTCCTTTCCATTCCTGCGATTCTCTTTACATCTGTATATATCTATCACACCATGCTGACTTTGTGATGAGTCCTGTTCCTCAGAAATGTCAAGCTGGGTTCCTTGTCAAAGAAACACACAGCTCCTATTTCTCCACTTTTCAAAGAAACACACAGCTCATATTTCTCCACCTCATTTTGTTTTCACAGGGAGCTTTTCTTATCAACAAAGTCACATGCTTTTTTTTGATATAGTGTTTACCACATCTGGAGAGCCATAAACAGTAAATACAGAGGATATCAATGCCCAGAATAGTTAGAGTATTTTGATGAAATCCTATTTTTAGATGATAAATTTCAAGATATGTCTATAGTATATTGTTTAAAACAATTAAAGACATTTGAGACGTACATAAAGTAGACATTTTTAATTTAGGGAAACTTATATGCCCTTTTATAAGAAGCCATTCTAATAAAATAATCTGACTACTTGGCCCAAAATACAGTAAGTATCAATTTCTAACGGAGACCAAAGGGAAGCTGAGAGCCTTTCTTCCAACTGCTGTTGGATCGCTGAGGCCGCCTCTTGTAACGCCCGACAGAACCCGGCGAGGCTCTGTGGGCTTCCCACGGCCCTCAGGGAGGCTGCAGAGGCCCCTAGTCCATATCAGGAGGCCGCCGTCCCACACACCTCCAAAGCCTGTCTTCGTCTGCAGTTTTTGCAGAGTTCGCGGTTGGAGGTGGAAATTTAGAAGCTCTGTGTTGCAGGCAAGGCCGTAGCACCCCCAGGCAGCTCTTAGCAGGGACAGACCAACCCCGTCTCGCTGGTATTTTAGGGTCTTTTGGTATTTTGCCACCGCGTGGGGCTAGGCAGGCGGCTGGAGGATGCGGCACGGGCCTCACCACTGCATGAGCAGGGCTGTTTCCGGCAACACTGGGCTGCTGGTGGCTCCTGTCAAACTTCTCCCAAGTTTCGAATCTGAGAAAGTGAAGGAAGGATGGTGGGGAAGTGAGGAGGCAGGAGCAGAGGCCACAGGGGACCAGAGATGTGGTGAAGACAGAGGGAGCTTCCTTCTCAGGCCGTTTCAGGGAAGCCTGAGAGGCGGCTGGCACCACCTTCTGCTCACTCTCCCCTCAGCCACTTCACTTCCCTTCTTGCCCCTTTCTCTCCTCCCTGCCTCTTCCCTTTCTTGCTGTCTTGTAAGTCCCTGTCCCAAAGCTCCTGGTTGCTTTGTTCTGCTGCCATGGCCCCCACCCAGGAGGAGGCCGTCTTAGGCACCATCCCCACCGAGGGATCCACGCAGCAGGTTCATGCTAGGGCTGGGGGAGCCCCATTGGGTTCCTATGTGGCAGGTTCATGCTGGGGCTGGGGGAGCCTCGCTGGGTTCCTAGGCAGCAGGTTCATGCT